GACCGTTACGACAGAGACAACCTATCTATCGCTCGTATCGCACTCGTTATAACCTAAAACAATAACACAACAATAACAAGACAGTGTCTGACCGCATGTTCCAGCTATTTATGAATGAGATGCTCAGTCTATATTTTATTTTAAGTCTATGAATAGTACTAATTACTAATATTCGTCCACAAGAGGTTATGTTTTATGTTCATTTATAATTTGGTTACCACAGATATAATATAAAATACTACTAATTTTTATCTCGATTACATCGAAAAAGATAATCAAATTAGTTAGTTTTAATTTACTATCGAATTAGTCTTATTATTTAATTCAAATTTTCCCAATACTACTAAAAACGCAATACATCCGGCCAGGTCTTTGCGACCTGGTCGTCAGTGAGTTCGAGCCCTTAGTGGAACCAAATTAGATAAAAAGTTAAATTTTAAGAAAAATTATCAAAAGGGAACAAAAACCTTGATTGTTGTTTTAAATTTCAGATAAACTACAAGTTTTGATTAAATATTTTAGAAATAAATATTAAGCTGAAGTTATGGAGGGTATTGTATTTGACTAAAAGTGGGTCCCATGGGACCCTCCACTGCGGCCGCGGGGGCCTATTGTGGCTAAGTTATGGAGGGTACAGGTTTACCTCTAAGCCTCAAAGCTGAAATGGACAGATATTATTCACCGATCTGTGTCGATGGTTGAAAAATTATTATTATTATTATTATTATTATTTACACAATAGAAAGCGGTATAAAAATACCGATGAGTCTACTGTCTTTTTATGTTGCGCGTAATTTTTTCGAGTTTACTGGCCGTAATGCAAATGTACAGAACTCAAGGTATTCATTTCTTGATCAATTTTGTTTTTAAATGAGTTGAGAGTTGGTACTGAAACACTTTCTTCTGACAGCGAGTTCCACGGGTACACCATGCGGTTAGTCAAAAATTTTTTCGCTGGAGTTTGGACGATCTTTCCTTTTCCAGGCGTCTGCTGTGGCCTCTAAGTTGTGGAGTTTGGCAAGGATGGTATATATTTAATGGGCAAGTGTAGAAACAATTTAGAATTTTGTAAGTCTCTCTATCAAGTCCCCCCCGCAAACGCCTCTGTTTTAATGTGGTGAGATTTAACATCGCAAGACGATCTTCATACTCTAGATCCTTAATTTCATGGGGCATTTTTGTCACCTTGCGTTGAATTTTCTCGATGAGATCAATATCCTTCTGAAAATAGGGACTCCATATTATTTGACCATATTCTATTTTGGGTCTAATGTAGGACTTGTATATCTTTAAAATAAGATCAATAGAGCGGTCTTGAAATGCTCTTTGAATGAAATAAAGAAGAGAATTTGCTTTTTAGTAATCTTTGATATATGCACATACCATTTTAGGTTTCCAGTAACTGTAATCCCTAGATCTTCCTGTTGTTCTACATGTCTTAGACTTAATTCATTTAGGGTGTAGGTTTTGTGCGCATAATTCATTCCAATGCTAAGAACAGTGCATTTGTCCTCATTCAGTTTCATTCTCCATTGTTTGGCCCAGGATTCCACCAACCTTAGATCATGCTGAAGATTGACGTAGCTCGTTTCGGGATTTGCATATAACTTTGTATTATCCGCAAAAAATATGATATTCTCGTTTTATGCCTCTTGCCAGATCGCTGATATACAGGAGGAACAACAGTGGGCCCAACACAGAGCCTTGAGGAACACCGCTGGTCACTTTGTGTTTAGTTGAAAGAGATCCGTTTATTCTGACTTGGAAGTAGCGTCGGGTTAGGAAGTTTGATATAAGTTTGAATAAATTCCCTCTTATGCCGTAGTGGTTTAGTTTATAAAGAAGCATCTGGTGGGGTACTTTTATCAAATGCCTTTTCAAAGTCAAGATAGATGACGTCTGTTTGTTGGTTTCTATCAAAGGCTGCTGTCCAATCGCTAAGACAAGATGTCATGTTCGTTTATTGTGGATCTACCTCAGGAAGAAATCCATGCTGTGTGCTGGGTAAGACATCTTTTTCCATTAGGTATGGAGTAAGTGTGCGGATGATTACCTTTTCCATGCATTTACAGATGCAGCTAGTTAGACTAATTGGTCGGTAATTACCAGCTAACTGTCTGTCTCCCTTTTGTGAAGCGGTGAAACGAAAGAAAGAGACCAAGTATCTGGAAATTTGCCAGATATTAGTAAATCATTAAATAGACATGCTAAAGGTTGTGCGAGGGCATGACAACATTTCTGAAGAAAAACAGTCGGTACACTATCTGGACCCGGCTGTCAGTTTTAATGATTTTATGGCTTCGCTAACGTTGAGCTCTGTAAATTTATGTTAGTAATCTCTTGTGGAAGCCTAGAACTCTGTGAAAGCGTTGGAATGTAAGAGTCATTGGTTGTCGTAAAGACTGATGCAAACCGGTGTGCAAATTCCTCAGCAATGTCACAGTCGTCCATGATAGGTAATCCATTGTTGGGGTTTTAAGAGTGAAACTGATACTTTTGTAGACAGAGTCCTATTAATATATTTAAAAAATTGTTTTGGTGAGCTGGAAGAGGCGATAGATTTTTCGTAGTTTTGTCTAGCACTTGCGATTATGTTTTTTAGAGTGTTGTTTTCCGTCCTGTATGCAGTATAGTTTTCGGGTGTTGGCGATTTAATATATTTATCCCATAATTTTCGTTTGTTAGTAATTTTTTTAAAAATATTCTGATTTATCCATGGTTTTTTAGAATTTATTGTTTTAGTTGTAAATGGGACAAATTTTGTAATAGCTTCACACAATAATTTTGGTGATTTTTTCATATCTGTTTTCTTCCAAATGTGAAGGGTCAAAATTCAAGTTTTCTGCAAGAAATACATTTATTTGTTCATAGTTGGCTTTCCAAAAGTTTTGTTTTCGTATTTTATTGGTAGATCTAGTTGGATATTCGAGTTGCGTTTTTCCAGTAATAACCAAATGGTCACTGCGCCCAATGGTGAATCACTTTCTATGTTGTAAATCAGTTTCTTATTATTTACTAGAAACAAATCCAGAAGCGCATCCTGATCACCCCTGAAACGTGTGGAAAAAATCTATTATTTGATAAATATTCGCTTTCATTAAAGCTGTCCAAAAACAGTTGATTTAGTTTCTCAGTTCTATATAGTGTTTTATTGTTCCAGTTGATTTCAGCATAATTGAAGTCTCCAGTGATGTAGACTGGTACGCCCCTCTGCACACACCTCAGCTAATACATTTATCATATTCCTGCCTGATTCTTCTGCTCGAGTGTGGTGGCCTATATATACATGCCACAATAAACCTTAAACCAGCAATTTTGATGTTCAGCCATACTGATTCAATAGGACTTATGGTTCTATATTTTTTGATACACTAGAGTATATTTTCTGTCCATTCACTTGTTCCTTTACAAAACACACACACTCCACCGCCTCTTTGTTGATTGCGGTCTTCCTAAAAAAATATTATAACCATTGATATCTATCAGACTGTTTCTAATGTCAGCATTCAACCAGGTTTCAGTTATTAATATGCATAGAGGATCGTGTTTTTTAATTGAGATAAAGAATTCTGGCCTTTTTTACTATGGAACATACATTGCTATACCAGAACGACGCCTCTAGAATTTGTTTATTTAGTTTTTTGGAGTTGTACTCTGATTAACTTTTTACAAGCTTTGGTGTAAAATCAAACCCTGATATCTAATTTTATAATTGTTTCTTCCCCTCCTTGGTATGTTGTTCCAATTCGTGCAGGAGTTTTTGAGATGGTTTCTTTGCATTGGTGTTTGGTCTCTCTTATATATATTCCATCATTGTTCTGAAGTTTGCTTTTTTTAAGCTTCAAAATCGCCAAACCGTCTCCTTGTCTTCAAACTGGACTTTATTGGTCTTTTTTATTGCATCAATTTTTCCCCAAACGATACATTTTAATGTTTTCTTTCAAATATTTAGCTTAATGGGCTTAAGTATTTCAACCACTAAGCCTCCGCGTCTGATTCTGATTTTCAGTATCGGTCCCAGGTTCAGAAATACCAAATATAACAAGATTGTTTAGACGCTTTTCTCTCTCTATATTTCCTCTATAGTGGGTGCGATATTATCTTCCCTTCCAAGATTTATCTCACCTTTAGTGATATTTTCCAGTTTTTCCTCCAGTTTCTGGAAATTTCCATGAAGAGCTGCTTTGATTCTCATTTTTTATTTTTACTATGTCAGCAAACGACTGCTTGGATTGAATTGATTTTTCCTTTAGTTCATTTATTTCCGCTTGCAAGTCAGCAAACCTTAGCTTTTTATCGCAGGTAACTCTCGAACTACAGTTATGCAATCTGTACAGAAATAAGGGAGCACTCTGGATATCATTGACAGCGCCCATATCTCAGTTGAAGAAAATCCTGCACAATTTCTGCACAATATGACTTTGCACATATCGCATGGATAGCCAAAAAGATCACTTTTAGTTTCTTTAAAAATACAAGCGGCACTACATTTCGAACAAGATCCAGTCATACTTGTTTATATTTTTGTCCTCTGTTGTAAAAATAACCCGAACGCGGAATTTTATGAGTTGTTTGGAATTCCGTTTTATTGCAAGTTTTTTTATTATTTGGTTGATTTTTTGTTTAGATTTATTTGCAATTTAATATAATATAAATGCACTTTTCCACAAGTAGGCACTGTTATTAAGAACTAAACTTTATTCCAATCAGTTCAAAAAGTAACACCATGTGTTCGACGCGAAAATCGCGAAAAAATACGCACGGAAAATGTCCAATAACAGTCCAAATACCGGGAGTAAACTCGACACGCAGCTATCTCGACGAATATTCGAATGTACTAAATGCATCTAGATTCAATCCGTTCAAAACAATAATTGAATATGCAACAATAGGTTGGTCAATACATTAAAAATGTGTGTATAAGTTGTTTGTTAAAAAAATATAAAAGTAAACTGACTAATAAATAACCCCAAAATAAAATAATCTTAAATCTTTATTACCTGGTGGACCACGGGGTGGTGGTCCTCCTCTAAATAAAGGTGGTGGGCCACCTCGACCTCCACGAAACATACCTGGCGGTGGGCCGAAGCCCCTCCCTCGAAACCTGGGTGGCGGGCCTTCTCTAGGGCCTCCAGGAGGAGGGCCTGCCCATCTAGGAAGAGAACCTTTACTGTATTTCTATATTTAATAAAAACATAAAATAATAAAACCAATAATTACCCAAAGCCTCCTCTGGCTCCACCGCGTCCACGACCAGGAAAATCCTTTATACCGTCTCTACTTTCTTCGTCAAAATCTACATCGTCCTGGAAGTTTTCATCCATGTCGCCGTTATCAATTAATTCGTTTTCGGCCATAGCTGATGTCAAAATGTGAAAGTGTCAAACTGTCTTTTGATATAAATACCTTATCAATAAGTTTTACAATATATGAAAAGGTAATATATCTTGAATAATTACGAATTGGTCAATTAATAAATTAAAAGCTGACCGGATTACCAGAAGTAACCAGAAGTAAAAACGTCCAAAGCCACACTGTCAACTGTCAACAGAGTCAACCTGGTGTCAACTTTCAGCTTGTCAATAGTTTGGTTTGTACCAGAGATATAGAGTTAGCAAGAATGAGCATAATAAACATGCGCATTAAATTCTGTTGTAGTCGCCAAGTGGTAGTAGCAATCCACACCTTTACCATTTTTATTATACTTTTGCCTCAATGTAGTTTATGTAGTTTTTAAGATAAGGTGAAGGTTTGGATCCGGTGGCTGACCTTGAAGCCCATATTTGCTGCATTTGATCATCGATACTACGCAAACGCACATCGTCGATGTTGCCAAGTTGCAGTTTATTTTCGAATTATTTGCAGTTGAAATTTTTTTTTTATAGAATTAATACAAATTCTCTATAATTAATTTTATAATTTCAGATTTATCTTGATATCCCAAATTAAGGTAAGAAGGATAATGAAGATTGTGAAATGAAAGTATTATGAGTATATAAAATTGTAATAATAATAACATATTTATTTATATATTTACATTAGAATTAAAAATTATCATTTACAGATTTTTTCTTAATGGTTTTAAACTTATTAGAATTATAAGTCTATATCTCTTTCTGTTTACAGACAATAATAGTTTTGATTATACAGGGTTGTTCACCACATACGACACGGAGTATTGTAGCTAAACGATGAGATTTTTACAAATTGTAAGTTTGGGGTTCGTTGAAGGACTATTAGAGCTAGAAATAAATAAAAAATATCAAAGTTGTATTTTTTTAAATGGAACACCCTATATATTATTACATTTTTAGTTTCTACGATTAAAATAAAGGTAAATTTGATTAAGGTTTATTATACTTAAACCTTACCGTTTTTGAAATATTTTCAATTTTGTGAAATTGCAGTAAAAATTTTAAAGCTTTATTTCTCCAAAGGTATCAATGTTTTTAATACTAAATATTTAATGAAGTTTATTTATTGATCGGTTATTGTGTTGCAATAATAAAAATAATACTACCTTATACAGAGTGTCTAAAAATTTATTTTAAATAATTATTAGCTTCAAACGGCAATAACTTCTTTAATTTAAATGGAATGCCCTGTATATTTTAGGAGAATCAGATGCACAATTAAATTGTCTATCAAATTGTATTATACCATTTTTTACCTATCCCTTCAATTTTTCGTAGAAAATGCAGTTTCTTATAATTTAGACTCATTTTTCAATATATCCATGGAATATTGACATTTTAGATTGTTTTTAAAGCAACTAATGTACAAAATGTACAGACTAGTAATATTATCGTTTTTATCAAAACGATAATATTACTAGCCCATTTGTATGCAAAAAGAAAACTATTTAAATCTTTATAAAAGAGCATATCATTAATTAAATATAACACCATTATTTCCGCCCATATACTAATTAATTACATACTTAATTGTGTTCGTTAATAAATTATTATAAATAAATGTGGATTTGAATCAGAAATCAATATAATAATAAGTTATCAAATTAAAGTCTCTGTTGTTATAAATAAGCATTTATTAAAAAATGAAATATCATTTTTAAGGTGTTACTTTTATCACACTGTCTAATGCCCATACAAAATTCAGTTTTTAGTATTTGGAGCAATTATTATTAATCAACGCAAACAGTCAGTTAATGTAGTTTGAATACTGGAATCATATTAATTGATCCTCTTTAACAAATATTTAAACAGTTTTTTTTATTTTTTAATGAAATAAACGAATTATATCGACAATATTAGTATCTGTGCTCTTTAAAAATTTGGTACATCTTTAAAAATAATCTAAAATGTCAATAATAAGTTCTAAATTACAAGAAAATGCATTTTCTACGGAAACTTAAAGAAATAGGTAAAAAATGGTATAATATAATTTGATAGACAATTAAATTGTGCATCTGATTCTCGTAAAATATACAGGGTGTTCCATTTAAATTAAACAAGTTATTGCCGTTTGAAGCTAATAATTATTTAAAAAAAATTTTTAGACACTCTGTATAAGGTAGTATTATTTTTATTATTGCAACACAATAACCGATCAATAAATAAACTTCATTAAATATTTAGTATTAAAAACATTGATACCTTTGGAGAAATAAAGCTTTAAAATTTTTACTGCAATTTCACAAAATTGAAAATATTTCAAAAACGGTAAGGTTTAAGTATAATAAACCTTAATCAAATTTACCTTTATTTTAATCGTAGAAACTAAAAATGTAATAATATATAGGGTGTTCCATTTAAAAAAATACAACTTTGATATTTTTTATTTATTTCTAGCTCTAATAGTCCTTCATCGAACCCAAAACTTACAATTTGTAAAAATCTCATCGTTTAGCTACAATACTCCGTGTCGTATGTGGTGAACAACTCTGTATATGTATGTATTGATGTATTGAAGTATTACCATGACGAGTCTTATAGAACAATACATGTCAATGGGACATAGAGGTAACATTTTACCTACTTTCAAACACTTACTTTGATTATGTTTGTATCATAATTTCTTAAAAATATCAAGTTAGTGGATTAATAGCAATTTTAAACATATATTTTATCGAAGAGTGTTGACAAGACTTAAGACTAAAATAAGCTTTATGTTTTATCTTTTTCGCTTTACAAGGGAGATGGTTTGTGTCGTAAAATAAATTACAGTATTTATTACTGTAATTTCTTGTTTTCTATAATGCCAAATCTTGACAATATGGTGAAGGTTGAGTTTTGATCTTATTAGTTTTATACCTGTGTTTATACTAGACTAACTTAAGACTTAGTTAGTTTGTGATTTATATTAAGATCTTTCTTATATATTATTTGTTATGTCTTAATCTTAATACTATAGAAAGAAAGAAAGACATTGCTTTATTGTCATAAAAAAATTTTACAATTTTGTTGACAAAGCTTAAAAAAAAGAATATAAAAAACATACAAAACTTCACTTAACAATAGAAAAACATATAAAACTAACAGCAAACATACAAAACTAAAACAATACTTTATACAATTATAGAAATTGTACATTGTCAAAAATTTATTTAATTAAATATAAATAAAATATAAACATACATGTAAATAAACAACTGTATATAATGCCAATACTAAATTTAAATGGATAGAAAACAAAATCATTTCTTAAATTTAGTGAATGTGTGTTAAATTTAGAACTAGATATTAATAAAAAAATCGGCTCTGCGAAATGCAGGAAAGGATGAAATGGAATTAATCTCAGATGGCAGATGATTGTGCATTTTTTTGCATTGTACAATATGGAACTCTTTACTAACTCAGAGTGAGGGGTTGGCAGATACATGTTATGCTCTGCGTTCCTAATTGGATAGCCATGAACTGGCCCTAGAGAAATACTCGATACGTGCTTGCGAACTAGGCAGACGGATTCGAGTATAAATAGGGAAGGAAGAGTTAATATTTTATATCTTTTAAACAAGTCCCGGCAGTGAGCACGACTGGTTAGCCTCAGTGAATATCGCACAGCTCTCTTTTGTAATTTGAAGATACGCTCAAATTGAGTCGCACAACACGCACCCCAGAATGGAAGTGCGTATCGGAGATGCGACTCAAAAAGGGCATAATAGACTGTCCTAGATGTTGACAAATTAAGCACATTAGTAACTGATCTAAGTGCGAAACAGGCAGAACTTAATTTTTTAGCTAAAGCATCGATGTGCAAATCCCATTTTAAATAGTTGTCCACAACAAGGCCTAAAAATTTCACAGAATCAACGACGTCAATGGTGGTATTATCAAGTTGAAAAGGTAGCAACGTACTTTTATATGATAAGACTTTAGTTTTAGAGACGTTGAGACACAGATAATTAGAATCGCACCATGTTTTTATGTTGATTAAGTCACTGGAAATGGTTCTATGAAGTGCCGTGGTGTCCGGGCTGCTCCATGTGAAACAAGTATCATCCGCGAAGAGACAGATTTAACCACTGATGTCCAGACTAGCAATATCGTTGATAAACAACAGAAACAAAATAGGACCTAGCACTGAGCCCTGAGGTACTCCGCATTCTATTGGCTTGCAAGAAGACACAGTCTTATCAACCCTCACACGCTGGTTTCTGTTGTAAAGGTATATTATGCTTTGTCTAGAAAATAAAATATCTTAATCTTGCATATCCTTCCATCCTTCCATATTAGGAAAAATATGGTTTACAAATCATATATGCTAAGAAAATCACATAAATTAGGTGTAAGAATAGAAAAATCTTAAAGTAGCAGAAAAATTAATGCAATATATGTATAAGCAGAATTAAACAAGGTAACTGGTTAATGTTGCTGAAGCTGATGATTCTACGGTTTTAATTACGGAGGCTAAAAAGCCTTTTTAAGGGCTCCATAGTTTTAATGGAATGTTAAGAAAAACTTATTATGAACATGATATGGAGCTACAGCATTTAAAAATTAAAAAAAAAAGAAGAAACTTGGACACATATCCCTTTTAATTTTCCGAATTTTTAATAAAGCTGCATCATACGGTATATATTTACAAAAAAACACTGAAAAGCCCATATTTGTTTTCTACTGAAAATAATTTCAAAATCACTGCAATCTGGTAACACCGGCGATGTGCGCATGCGTAGTATCTGTGACTATATGCAGCAAAAACTCGTTTCAAGGTCAGCCACGGGATCCACACCATAGATCCACACCTTTACCCAACCCAGAGACCCAACCTTTACCCCTTGACAAATACCTAAGATAATTTTGAGGGTTGTTGGTTCCTTGCTTGAATATTTTTGTTTGTGTATCGGGCAACATCAAAATTGTGCAGCTTATTCACTTAAAAATGTACATCTGTGGTAATTTAACTTCTATCCGAAAATTCGAACAAATCCCTGAAGGTTGGTGATTATACTATACATAGTTCTACATGGAAAGCTGTATGGCGCTATACCTGAAAACAGGTTGACAAAGTCAAAGGAATAAAATGATTTTTTTAATATTTTATAGTCATAGAGAAAGATTTTCTCTATGATCTAGGAGCAACCCTGGCAATTTTCCGAACCCTGGCTGACAACCAATCTGACAACAGTGTGACAAGTGCTGAAGTTGACAAGTGACAACTGACATATATAGATAAACAAACAAAATGACAGCTTTCTAAGAGTAAATAAAATAATTTATGCAAAGAATTTCTGTTGTTATATGTAAATTCGTTCGGGAATAAATGAGTTTTCTAAATCATTAGTGTACTTTGTTACTTTGTTGTTGTTAGAGACCTTTTATTGAATTTTGTTTTTTAGATGGACTCCACCCGTAATAGTCATATTAAAGAGGCCCAAGCTACTTTGGCTTCTATTCAAGAAATATCTCGGCTTTTAAATACAGAACTTAGTCCCGAAGCTTTAACAATATGCGTGAGACTTTGTGAAGCTGGTATTAGTCCAGAAGTATTAGCTGCTTTGGTTAGAGATCTTTTAAAGGAGGTTCGTGAATCACAATTAAATCATAATCAAGCCAGTTCATCAAGGGAGTTCCAAGCTAGTAATTAAATTTTTATCTATTCGGCTTTCTGGACAGTTTAAATACTGAGATGGGAATATAGATCATGCAAGAGTACAAAGCTGATGTTTACATTTTATAATAAATAAAAGTACTATCAAATTTGTAAGAGTTTGATAAAACTCCTGATATTCTACCAGAATTTTTTATGCACTGCCAGTAGCGTGTCAGTTTTGTAAACATGTATTTTAAGTAAAGTGACTGTTCAGGTGTAGTTTAATGCCGATTCAGTTCTAGTGTGATTTTGTCAGTTCATTATAATTAAAAAAGATGTAATATAAATATCATGGTAACATTTGGACTTTATGGTGAAACTCTAAATTCACCTCTTTTATTAATAGACATAAAACCTAACCTAGCCTGCAACATTAGCGTATATGTCTTGTATATGTTATTTGAATTTGTTTCTGTACCAAAGAAATAATATTTTGTTTAAAAAAATATATAATATGGTAATAATTATGAAATAAACACACAGTAAACATGAACGACTTTCAGATATCTCTCTGATTGCCTATTCAGACACAGAAATTAGATTGCAATGTTGCCAGTTATGTTTTCAAATTATACTACCTCTTCTTTATGTTATAAATTCTACTGTATGATTGAATAAAAACTGCGTCAGCGATGGCTATGAAATGAAGATTTCTGTCATTTTATATGTAAAATTATATGGGAAATGTCATCGATCGTCATTTCCAAGCCAACTGGATGCCTTTTTTTTCGATCATATGGTATTTATAACATAAAGAAATATATATTGCTATTGTTAAACTAACGATTTTATTAAACCCTTAGTAATATTTCTTTGTTATAATTTAATTTACATATATGAGTTGGGCTCAACTTTTGTTTAGCTGAAATCAGTTATGTAAGAAATGTTTGTTTATTTAGTATTTGGAAGCCTTTTCGAATAGTATGTCACAAAAGTTATTCTGCAGAAATGCCTAATTTTCAATTTTTCAACTTTAGATGGGCTGAAATCAGGCCAACTTGAGTTTAGCTAAAATCATTAGTTAAGCAAGAAATACTTGTTTAGTTTGGTTTTTTTCCAAATAGAAAGTCACATTTTTTTTTTGCGGAAATGCATTTTTTTATCGACTTTATAATAGCTGAAACCAGTTACATAAAAACAAATTTCTGTTTTTCATTTTCATTATAGAATTTTTTCTAGACATAATATGTAGACATGCAAAAAACTTCTTGTTTAAGTGTACCATTTTCATTGATTTATTGATAAAATATTGTAAAATATAGCGAGATTTGAAAAACACTCGGCAATTGAAGGGACCAATGCAAGAAGTGCCTAAGTCAGCTTAGTCAGGTTTCTAGTTTAAGTTTTACATTTCACTTTTACTCTATTTGGGCTCTCAGGTTCTATCACTTCCTGATGAGATACATGCCTGAAATTTGTAGGGTAGTATCAGTGACCCTCTTGGAGTCTCCATACCAAAATTCAGGCTTCTAGATTAAGTTTTACATTTCACTTTTGCTCTATTTGGGCTCTCAGGTGCTATCACTTTCGGATGAGATACAGGCCTGAAATTTATAGGGTAGTATCAGTGACCCTCTTGGAGTCTCCTTACCAAAATTCAGGCTTTTAGCTTAAGTTTTACATTTTACTTTTACTCTGTTTGGGCTTACTACTACTTCTGGATAAGATACAGGCCTAAAATTTGTAGGGTAGTACCAGTGACCCTCTTGGAGCCTCCATACAAAATTTCAGACTTAATAGCTTAAGTTTTACATTTAACTTCTCTATTTGGGTTCTCAGGTACTACCACTTCCGGATAAGATACAGGCCTGAAATTTGTAGGGAGTACCAGTGACCCTTTCGGAGTCTCTATAACAAAATTCAGGTTTCTAGCTTAAGTTTTACATTTCACTTTTACTCTATTTGGGCTCTCACTTCCTGATTAGGTACAGGCCTGAATTTGAATATGTAGGGTACTTAGGGTAGTATCAGTGACCCTCTTGGAGTCTCCATACGAAAATTCAGGCTTCTAGCTTTAGTTTTACATTTTACTTTTACTGTATTTGGGCTTACTACCACTTCTGGATAAGATACAGGCCTGAAATTTGTAGGGTAGTATCAGTGACCCTCTTGGAGTCCCCATACCAAAATTCAGGCTTCTAGCTTCAGTTTTACATTTCACTTTTACTCTATTTGGGCTCTCAGGTTCTTTCACTTCCTGATGAGATACAGGCCTGAAATTTGTAGGGTAGTATCAGTGACCCTTTTGGAGTCTCCATACCAAAATTCAGGTTTCTAGCTTAAGTTTTACATTTCACTTTTACTCTATTTGGGCTCTCACTTCCTGATTAGGTACAGGCCTGAATTTGAATATGTAGGGTACTTAGGGTAGTATGAGTGACCCTCTTGGAGTCTCCATACCAAAATTCAGGCTTCTAGCTTAAGTTTTACATTTCACTTTTACTCTATTTGGGCTCTCAGGTGCTATCACTTCCGGATGAGATACAGACCTGAAATTTATAGGGTAGTATCAGTGACCCTCTTGGAGTCTCCATACCAAAATTAAGTTTTACATTCTACTTTTACTCTATTTGGGTTTACTACCACTTCTGGATAAGATACAGACCTGAAATTTGTAGGGTAGTATTAGTGACCCTTCTGGAGTCTCCATATTAAATTTCACGCTTCTAGTTTAAGTTTTAAATTTCAGTTTTACAGTAGAACTTATAGGACACATATCGGAATTAACACGGCCGAATTAATGAAGTATCTGGATTACTGGAGGAATATTTTTATAATGTTATTGTTTCATACTTTTATTGTTTCGAACCTTAACTCAAAATTTAAACACATTTTTATTTAAACGAAAACGCAAAACGCTTTATAAAACATATTAAAACTTCTTTTTGATCTTATAAATTGCACTTATTGTACCTTGTACTTACATGTACCTACATACAGGGTGGCGCCTCTCATACGCCGCAGAGGCTCCAAGGAGAACAACAGTTTGTATCGAAATGAAATTGTGAGGGCATATGTAGGTTAATTCAGAGCACTTTTCTACAGGGTGTCCCCAAAAAAAGTTACATATCAAAGTTGTGTTTTTTGTAATGGAAACACCTTATATATTAAGAAACACCTAATAAAGAATAGTTTTATAAGAGAAGTATATGACTAAAATGTAACGTTTTTGACATATATTTTCTAGAAATAAAGAACAATTTTTATAAATTACAATAAAAGCTACCTAAATTGGATTATACCCGGTATACCCTAATATGTAGTTAAATTAACTATTGTACTTTAAATCAAATTAAAACTTAATCCAAAAAGTTATACAGGGTGAGACAAAATTAATATTGAACATTGGTCACCTTTAGAAGCATTTGGCATTTACCTGCTTTTAATCATTTGGCAGAATTTGGCTTAAAAGCATGTTACTCTTTTATTTTAAACGGAACACCCAGTATTTATTTCGATATTCAATGAATAATTCATATCTCAAATTCAAAATACTATTAGGGTTGCCTACCCCTCAAACAAAGATTTTCCTAGATATTTTCATTTACATGATTTGATCTGGGTAGATCTTATTTTAGATTATTAGATTATTTGATAAAATCTAGGGTGGCTGTGATATGTCTGACGTTACTGCAACATAGCTGTCTAATTAGTCCAACTTTAACAACTAGTTATCATTTTGTGTCAGTTAAAACAAAAAAAATTCTCTAAAATTTACCGAAAATGCAAACTTATCCTACATCAGCGAAAATTGATATGATTCTATTAGTTGGTGAATGCAGTGTGCATTCACCTATTAATAGGATACTTAAAGGCTCCTGATTTTATCTAGTCTAGGTTTTTTATGGGGATATGCTAAAGACAGTGTTTAAAAAACTCGAACAACTATTGTCGACAACATGCGAGAAATTATTGTAGCTGCTTTTCGAGGTAGAACTTTTTTAGAAATAAAGAACAATTTTTAAATGACAATAAAAGCTACCTAAATTGGATTATACCCGTTATACCCTAATATGTAGTTAAAATAGCTATAGTACTTTAAATCAAATTAAAACTTGATCCAAAAAGTTATACAGGGTGAGACAAAATTAAATTTGAACATTGGTCACCTTTAAAAGCATGTTACTCTCTTATTTTAAATGGAACACCCAGTATATTATTCCGATATTCAATGGAGAATTCATGTCTCTTCAAAATACTATTAAGGTTGCCCACCCCTCAAACATAGATTTTCCTATATATTTTCATTTACATGATTTGATCTGAGTAGATCTTTATTATTTGATAAAATATAGGTGGCTGTGATATGTCTGACGTTACTTCAACACATTTGTCTAATTAGTCCAACTTTAACAACTAGTTATTATGTTGTGTCAGTTAAAACAAAAAGAATTCTCAGAATTTTTTTCCGAAAATGCAATCTTATCCTACATCAGAGAGAATTGATATGATTCTATTATTAGTTGGTGAATGCAGTGTGCATTCACCAACTAATATAACAATATGTAATTAAATATCAGGCTATACAAGGTCAACTAAAATTTAGGTAGCTGTTGTCGAAATTTAAAATTTACTTTTCATTTTCACAAAATGTGAAATATGTCACAATCCTTAAATTTTAGGTATATGCGTCTTTAATAAAACAAACTTTTATTTTTTTTCTAGAATCCGAAAATCAATTAATATATAGGGTGTTCCATTAGAAAAAACACAACTTTGATGTGTAACTTTTTTGGGGGGCACCCTGTATAATTCTATATATTTTTATAAAATGCTTTCAGTTAAGCTACACAAATTTCATTTCGATATAAACTACCGATCTCCTTGGAGCTTCCGCGGCGTATGAGAGGCGCCACCCTGTATATGCACCTATAAGATAACTCAGTTATTACTTACTACAACATCCATATTAAGTAACTACGCACCTTAATACACATTCAATACGTACATAAAAATATCAACAAATGGGAAATTAACATTTAATTCGAATTGAATTGATTGATTTGAATTAATTGGCTTTTAAAAAAAATAATAGATTTTTATCTGCATACATACTTATCGATTTTGCTGCCTCAACAGCCTTCTCGTTTGGCAAAATATTTTGCCTAGAAACACCGTTTTCTTCTACCCAGTAAATACATTTTGATACAGATTGCATTGCTGTAAGATCTTTATTAAACAAGTCATTTTTATCACAACATTGTTATCCTCTGTTTCACTTTAGTCGTTATTTGTTTCTTTTGTTTCCAGTGCTTAGTATTTTCTCTTCAATTTGTCTCTGCCTTATATATCAGGCAAACTAGAGA